TTATACTTAGGCGCTACAATACAGGAAACGCAAATATGACCGACAGCAATTGCCCTGCTCAGTCGCCGGCTGGGCAATGTGGATTACCTTTTATTATTATTATTGTTTGCTTTTATTTGCACACTCGGCCTTTCAAACCAAATGCATTTCCATAGATATTCAAGCCTTTGGACTTTGCATATCAAATTGCCACGTTTTTTGTTTTTTTTGTTCGTTTTGCAATGATCAAGTGCGTACAAATCATCATAGCTACATATGTAGTACGTTGGTATGCGCAACCGGATGGATGGACAGAATGCACGCTTCATGCACGCGCCATACGATTTGTCTGCGTCTACCTGCGTCTGTCTTTCGTGCCCGCAGACGCTTTTGAGTGTTATGTTTTTGATTGATTCGTTATGTTCAACGTTTTTGTGGCAAATAGATCAACCAACCAAAGTCTGGGCCGCGGATAGGATAGGTGGCGGGCGTACGAGCTGTCATAGTTGGAGGCCCTCATTGAGTTTATAGCCCCAACGGATGTGCGACGTGTTGAGTGTTGAGTTCCATATGCCACAACGCTGTGGATGATCAAAGCATACCCGTATGCGCCAGCTATCAGTCATGGCGTTGCATGTTCACCATTCTTGGCACTACCGGCCTAAACGACCGATCAGATGGCGGCGGCGTGCAGCGCTTCAGCGGTCGTCATGCACGCAATACACGCAAAAGTACTAAGGTGTGAAAATACGCAGTGCGTATGCTCAGATGTAGTACATACACGTACTCCTATAGTTTATTGCACCTTTTTCCTTCTTTATAGTTTATTACGCGTTTTCTTGGTGCCAGTACTCCGTTTTTAGCATTCGAGCTCAAGCAACAAATGAAGTGTTAATTATGAAGGAACCGCCTTTCCGAGTAAATAATGTTTACATATGTCCGTGGCAGCATTTCACTGCAACTCTACTTACAGACAAAATGAAAATAAAAATAAAATTCTGCTATAATTCCTTGTCAAAATAAACTCTATGGACTATGAAAAAATGATAAATATGTATGTATGTATGTACATATGTACGCATGCTAGTCGGCCAGCTTCGCATGAGAATAAGCTCTTTCTGTTTATAATAAATCACAATTTTTTTTTTCTTATTTTCGAATAACTGTGCAAGTGCGGTATGCTAGTTGAGAGTCTTTGATTGACGAGACGCCACACTGCAGGTCTTTCCTCGCGCCATACACTGGAATGGATGGAGTGTAAGCGACGTGAGTGATTCATTGATTAGCTTCACTAATTCACATGTGTACATAAGTTTGTATAAATAAAAAAAAATCAACGCTTTATTAAATGCATTTAATAGGAGAAAGTTGCTAACTTGTGAGTTTAAGGAGAAATTAAGAAATTTACTCTTTCGTATTGATGAAGCGCAAGACAACTTTCTTTTATGGCATTGCCGGTAATAGGCCTTTCGCACGAGGCGATTTTTCAGGCAACAAAAGTTGAATGCGGAGTTGAATGAGAAGTTGAAAGTGAAAAAGTTGCCATCCCTATTCAGACGAGGCGATTTTCGATTCAACTCGAATTGTTGTTTACATTATTTAAAATGAGTTTAAATCGCCAAATTTTATCAATTGGCGTAAATTTGGTAAGCCAAGCGTTGGTATAAGTGCTTTTAGCGAAGCTGAAAGATAAAATAAGAGTAAAAAAGTAAAAAAGAAAAAAAATATGTATACACAACAGTGTTGGCATTTTTTGGTACAATTGTACTTGTTTGATACAATTTCATTTACAATATACTTTCCTACTACGCAGTACTTTTTANAACTTTGTTGAAAGCGATTAGTTGAAAGGCCGTTCGGACGAGGCGATTTTTGCTTTCAACTAAAATTTGCCTGAAAAATCGCCTCGTGCGAAAGCCCTATAAGCTTAACAAATGAGCCGTTGTGTTTTTGGCCCCTGAATTTTATTTGAAGCTGCATATGTATGTATGTACATATATAAATATGTAATCTTAATGTGGAAGTGGTATCTTGTCATTAAATTCTTTTTATTTATCACGGACGGTAATCATTAGGTTCTTTCCCGTACGCAACGCGGTTCCCGCGGGTGCCTAAAATATCCCAGAAATTATTCCCGTACTCAACAAAATGGGTAATAGAGAGCGAAAATTGGAACGTATTGGATCGTAAGTGTATTCTTCTTCCTGCCCGAAACAGCCCGCACTTTTTCTCCGGGTAAAAATTGATAAAGCGTCAAAGTGCATATCAGCTGTTTTGTGTTTATATGTTGCCTGCATTTACGTGGTGCTTTTAAGGAATAGTGAATGTATTTTCAGTCTTTATATTCTTGAAATAAAATTCGTGAAACAAAAATTCAATTTCCAATTAGTGGCAAAAACAAAAACAACGCGAATGAACTGTTTCTCAAATTCTGAGCACAAAATGTGCTTTTTTGCGTTCCCGTACTTCTGGAGGCGTTCTCTCACCTTTGCGTGGTCGTGGATCTGGAGAAGAGAACGTGTCGGGTGGTTGCCTTCGTAGACGACGCGGTACTTATGGTTAGTGGTGGTAATGCGACCCAAAACTCTGTGTCTAAATGGCCGACTAACAGCGCCTTTACCGTCAATCATAACAAGACGCAAATGGTTTTATTCACTAGGAAATGAAAGATTTTCATCGCAACTTTTCCCTTAATTGAAGCATTTCGCCTGCAGATCTCTGAAAGGTTCAGGTACTTAGGGTACGTACACACAGAATGCCTAGTGGCGGCGAGCTAAGCTTTAGGTGTTCACACTTCAACTTCTAAATGACCTTCAATTCGTCCTGGACTTCTAAAATGTAGAAAAGTGTTTATGTTATTGGAAAACGGAAAAACATAAACCAATGGAATGGACTTCTGGTTAAAATAATGGACTTGCGGTTGAAACCGTCAAAAGAATCCTGCCTACTTTTACAGCCTTCCAGCCATTGCTGGGCGAAACACTGAGCCCTCTCTGGCCAAATAGTCAGATGCCTTATTACCAGGCACACTCCGGTGACTTGGCACCCAGAGTAAGACAAGTTCGATATATTTTCCATCATATGTAATTTAATCGAGCCTTGCATTTCCGAACCAGTTTGGATGTAGTTAGAGGGCTGGCCAATGCATCACCACCTACTTTCCACGAGGCATTATGGTTCCTGTGCGGAAAAAATATGAAAACTTAAAAACAATTTTTTTTTCATATACATATGGTCTGATTAGCTAAATGCATGCGGCCCTGAAAAGCTGGATTTAATTTCTGTGTATGCTATAAACTCTTCAAGAAACATCGGTAAAATCGCTATACTGTTAGTAATGATTTTTTTTTTTTTTTTAATAATTTCAATAAATGTTTGAATTATAGGTTCTTACGCTGTGTAAATAATTTGTACAATGTTTTTGGATTTTTATATTACATTATATATGGCCTTATACAACATACACAAAATAGTTCCTCCGGTTACCACATTCTCTATGACACTCACAAAAGTTAAACAAAAAAAGTTTAAGGGCAGCAAAGGGTTAAGAGGCCTACAAAAAATGCTCCATATTTCTCCAAACGGAGTATACACTCTTTACAACTAGATAGAAGTAAAATTAGCTGCCTATAGCTGCCTATTTGACTGCTTCAGGACGTTAAATGCCCCTATGCCCTCGAAACCTTCATGCAATCCATATAATCAATTTCCATTTCCAAACTATTTGACAAGAATCGGTTTTCAGGTGCTTTGGACGGCGTAAATTACAAATCCATAGTGAGATTAAAGAAATTCAAGAAAGTGAATACAAAATGGTGATCAAAAATTCCTTCTTTTTCTAAATTCGTATCACGTGGTCACATGGTTAATCCAATTTTCAGCTTGATTGGGTTAACCGTTTGGGAAATATGGAATTCTTTCCGCTTTTCGTTGATATGGAACCACTGTGCGCCGTACCAGTGTTGTGTTAAAATTGTCAACGGAAATAAGGTCAATTGACACTATTTCGCATACTGGTGCGTTCGTTGGCGGCAACATGAATACAGTGTAAGAAAATTCCTTTTTTATAATTGTTTCCTTATACAAAAGGTTTCTTTTCCACCTTAGACATTCTGAAGTCGTTCAAAATATGCTAATTTAAAAACACAATTATCACAGTGTTCCTCCGGGGTTTTTGGGTATGACGGCAATCCACTGTTTCTTCAAATTAATAGTTTTCGTTTTATTGTTGTGGAAACGAAACATGTTTTGCAAGTTCGTAATTTAAAATTGTTTAATAAAATAAATGGGTGGTGGTTCATGACTCAGTGTTGATTAATAGCACACTGAGGATGTGGCAATAACCTCTTCATCTATGGAAACAACACTTACGGGGCAATGTTTATTGTAACAACATTCATCATATCTCACGTACGACGCAAGAACAACACTTTTTTCTTTGAATCGATATACTTTAAGCATTGTTGACGCTTTTTCCATTTGGATTTGTATATAACGGCATTTACTTTATTTCCAAATTTTTGTTGACTTTATTTCGCTTTTGAAAAGGTTATAATGTCAATTGGTGAAATAGTGCCAATTGACCTTATTACCGTTGATCTTGTTACCTGTCACCCACTAGCGACCAAAGCATTGGAAAAGAGACAAACTGCTTTTTATTTATTTTTTTTTAATTTTCAGGAACAAATTTTTATTTTTATGTTTTGTAAGTTTTATATAAATTTTATCTTTTCCTTTTATACATTTGTATCTTTAAAATTTTCTAATTTACAATACTCTTCATTGAATTTGGATTCAATGCGTATAACAATATATAAAATAAAAAACAATTATTTGTGTAGTATCAATTTGAAATAATGAATTAACTTTTAAATGCTTATTAAACTAATAGGACAGTGAATTTGTTTAAACAATTAATTTTTCATACGAAATTAATGAATTTTCGCAGCTTACTGGCTTACTTAAATACATACATATGTATGTATGTATGTATCTAAAATTTTAATATTTACTTCTTTACATATTTATTTAGTCATTTACAAAAAAAAAAAAAACAGTTAACTAACTACTCATTTCTTTATATCCTTATGTCTGCATCTATGTATCTATCTAAGTCTATCGTCTAGGACAGCAACGCCATGGCACGCGCTAATCGCACACGAAAATCACGATACAGCATTTTACCGCCAACCGGCACACGACACAGATACATATCGAGGCTCATTAGGCACAACGCCTTGCCGTTCATGGGAAATTTTTGAGGCAGTTCAGGCGTCACTTCCAAACCTTCGGATACCGCCATATTGATTAGCCATTTCCAGACATCGGCGCGTGTCCAGTCGCGCGGATCCAATGGTAGACCGTCGGAGCCCATCTGCTGCAGTGAAGTGTGCTGTGATAGGATTGTATTAAAATTGTTGTGGTTATTGTTGTTGTTGTTGTTGTGACTATTGGTATTATTGTTGTTGCTGTTGGGACTGTTGGGACTGTGCGCGGGTGTATGCGGTGATTGCAAGTAGGGATGCGTTAGCGCAGCGGCACGTTTCAAGACCGACGGCGAATTTGCCGCCTTGCTGCTCCACAGCTGCTGCAGTTCGTTCTCGTTGCGACAGTTGGCGCTGACCTGAGAGAGATCGAGTGGCGGTACGCGGCCAGCGTATTTCAAGAAGTTCGATTCAACTTGCATGGTTTTAGTTTAGAGGAGGATGGATTTGATTGGCGTTTGAGCTGTAATGAGAAGAAAATAAAAACATGAATCTGTTAGTTGCGGAATCTCTGATACAAAAAAAGGAAAAACTATTTTACTAGCAAAAAGCAATATTATTACAAGAGAAAATTAAGAGTAAAGGAAATAAAATAATTTTCACACATGTTATAATGCCTTTTTTTACGTTTAATAAATTAAAAGATATTATTTTTCGTTTAATATAATCCAACTGGGAATTCTTATGCATTTAGCGGACTGATCTTGATTTACAAATTTAAAATAAAAAACAATTAAAACAATCTACACCGTTTACATATTTTCCCTGTATTTTCATTGTTGTCTTTGACCTTTGTTCTTTTTATCCATATTCATTATACAACAAAATTTAACCGCACGACAGGAAATACTGTGGCTAATTGCGAACAATTGAAGCAATTATGTAAATACAATGTATTGCTTTGTACGCATTTGAATAAGTGAGAAAAACCTAAAACGCTGCACAGAAGCAGAGATCGCACTGATTATGGATTTTATTGTAAAAAGTTAAAATATTTACAACTTTTAAGATTTCGAGCAAGGAAAATTTAAAATTTTTGAAAAAATTTCACTGAAATTTTTGTGATTTTTTTTTTTTCATAGAAAGCACAGGTAAGATTCAAACGTACCATTAACCTAAAAGTCTCGAAGAGTTTGGAATGACCGACGGTAAGTCACAAAAAATCTCGATAAGTCCCGAAAAGGTCCCAAAGTATGGGCGAAAAATCCCGATGTTCTCACAATAAAATTTCCCTACAATCCACATAAGGCAAAAGTGACGATTTAGTTGGACAAAAATCGAAAATTGCGATGATATTTAATATCAATAAAAATACGTATGAACGTTCCTTAATGTTTTACTAACTAAAGGATAGTATTAGTTATGAAGCAACGTTTTGGATTATGTTACTAGAGTACCCGCAACTTGTCGAATGCATATTGTGGCCCTCAATCGCGGTCATACGCGGTAGCCCTGTATTAATTACGTATAGTATGTGTGGATGTAACTTTTTAAAATTACTTTTATATTAAAGAAGGACTTTTTACAAGTAAGTTTTTATTTTTTCATTAGTTTGCGTGTAACAGATTTAAAATTGTAGTTATTTAAAAAAGTTCTATAAAATAAACTATAAAATGAACTACAAAATGATTATTCCGTAGATGATAAAAAACAGTACCTCGGAGTACCCTCATTGGATTTTTATACAAATATTTTTTGATTTGTTTAGAAAGCCCTCACACAAATTTAGCTGTCCCTTTGAAGCACTTTAGGAGGAGAGAATAAACTATTCGCATCAGCTGATTGACAAAAAAAAAATACAAAAGCGAAACGATGAATCTCCAAATTTTTAATTTTCTAGGAAAGCCTCATGCTATCCTAGGTTAACCTGCCCAATATGTTTCAGATCAAAGTGGATAAAACCATTTTTCGGTAAATTTATATTTTTATTAATGCTATCATTTTTACATAAATAGTTTTAAACCATCACCCCAAATCAATTTTGCCTTATGTGCGATCGTTTACCAGGCTAATTATCGTGGTGCGTATTAAAGTAAGCCACTACCGATTAATCTTCACCTCTGAGTGATAGGGGTATAGACCTCTGCAACAAGGCGAGGTGGTGGCAACTTGCCCACTCACGAGTGGTGCGCAGACGAGAGTAGCCACTAAAGTAACACCAATTAAGGCAAGAATTACAGCTGACTCTTGTGATATTACTGTAATTTTGGTCTTACACGGAGATCAGACGGTGAGTGGTGGCAAGAGCTGCTGGCTAGGGTCTCACACGGCAGTCGGACCGCGAAGAAGGTTCATTGGGGAGGCCGAGAGAGAGAGAGGGAGAGAAAGAATGTGGAGTTTCGTTGCCGAAGTGAGCCACGTGGAGCCTATTTGGGTGCTGGAGAGCACTGGCACATTGCCAGAGTGGCGGAGAACCGTTAATGCTTGACTTGAGTAATAAGGAATCACATACCGCGTGGTGCAATAAAAATTAAGAGGCAATTGGTTCGAAACGCAAATGCAGATGGTTTACTTACTACAAGTTAAAGTATCAGGAGCTGAGGGAAACCTTGTAGACACCCAAAGTATTCCACAATAGCAACAGTGCAAGAACAGTCTCAAAAAATTAAACTTAATTAATTAGTTATTCGATCGAGCTTCGATTGTTCGTCGTATATATTTTGATGAAACGTTCTAAATTAGAGGAGCAGTGTTTTTTTCTTCAATAAGTTGCACTGCTCATTTATCAAAATATCAAAAAGAATCGGTTGATTACCGAAGGGAATAAGTCAGAATTTTTTCGATATGCCAAATTTGATGCAAATCAACAGAGTTTCTTTAAACGAACTGAACTGCATCAAAATTGTCATATCGAACTTATTCCCTTTGGTAATTAACCGATTTTAATCAGTAACATGTTTCTCTAAAAAAATGTGTAACTATAAACACTGAAAAAATGTTATATATGTTTGTATGTAAAGTATACAAAACGCAAAAGCAAACTCTAAACTAATACCAACAGCAATAAAATCGCCAACGATCGGAAATAATTATGTGAATGCCGCCAAATGCCTCACCACATAATCAAATCAAAACCAAATGGCCGTCAACAAATGAGATCTCCAAACCGCGCTACATAGCGAAGCAGACGAACAAAACAAAGCCGATTAGGCGAAAACAAAACTACTCTCATATATGTGATTGTAGGTATGCATTTTAACGTTTAAAACAGCAAGAAGCGGTAATAAAAATAATCGCATATCCGGTGCTCCCGGATTCTCACAATCAAACGCTACAAATCACACCGCCACCTATCTAAACTACATACATATGCACAATGCATATGTGCCAACACTGACATAAATTCCCTACAGCAATTCAGACTCACCCTAGGTTAGCCCTCAGATAGTCCCTATTGTTACCAGCACTAGTCCCTCATAAGCATTGGTGTGTAATTGGAAAAGGACCGGTCCAATCAAAACTGGCCGTAAGATAGTCCTGGACTAGTCCATTTTTGGAGATTTGTTTCGTTAGAATAAGATTGCGTTCTGCACTTCACAGATGCTTTTTCATATTTCGCCTCTGACGGCATTTGCACTCGGACCCACCTGAAAGCTAACAAATAGAGGCAAGCATCTCTGCGCACTGAGCTACAGCCACGCATGTAAATGTGTGTTCAAATGTTCACTTTGAATCAAGGCCAGACCAAGCGATTGGGACCTATAAATGTTGATGTTCTTTAAAATTTTTTTATTGAATTGTATTTTTGTCTATCTCTAGACAGAATCCTTGGGGACTGGTCGAAAGCTGACATTTTCGATGCAAGCAAATGTCAAATTCTGACCAGTCAAATTTAAACCAGTGTAGTACTGGTCCTTTACGGAAAATTGGCCGCCTTATTGCTGCAGGGTTATTTTGGCGGAAGTTTGCGATCAAAACAAAAGAGAAAGAGCGGAATTGTACATGGAAAAATGCATCAAATTTTTAGCGAAAGACAAACAAGCATGAAGCTCGCGACAAATCTTTTCCAAGCTCCATTGAATAACAAAAAGCCAAAGCGTAAACATTCATTGATGATCCCATAAAATTCTATGCCTTCCTAAATTTCAAATACAAACAAAGTACACACACGGTCACTTTAATAGCGCATCTGAAAAATTTACCGGGATCTAAAACACAAGCACTTATTCCCTTAGGGTCAGTATGGTTCAAATTTAGTTTAAATGCTCAAGCTGGCTGGCTTAAACCAAGATTAGCCTATAAATGTCAGCCGTTCACGATAAATGCAGCTGTTCACGATAAACGCAGTTTGCGTGATCTAAGTTTAAACTTGCACTAAAAACAGGCCCTTAGAAAGCCGGGAAGTGTTACGCGGAAATGGTATATACTAGAGTTGGGAACTTTAGTTCTTTTGAGTGAACCGTTCAGTAGTAGTTCGTTCACCTTAGTGAACTAGTTCTTTAGTTCACATAGTTCATTTGGTTCTATTGACGAATACATTTATGTTATTTTTAACAGGGACTGAAATCATTATGAGTAAAATAAGTTAAATCAGCATTTAATTATTATTTTATGAATTTTATTTTTTTCGCTTAAAAATAATATTTATTATTGACTTTTATTATTATTTTTTATTTATTACTTTTTCTTATTGAAAACACCTTTTTATAATAGATTCTTTGCTCTCCTGAAAAGCACCGATTTTCACATTCGATAGTTTAACATGGCAGCGACGATATTTACAGATATCTGGTAGATAGGGTCTTTGTTTTGGCATTCCAGTCATGCTTCCGTTCGAATAACCTACGCCAGGAAACTTAATGCATCGCTAGTTTGGCCTTCATACCCACTTGACCTTAACATAACCACAAATGGTTGAGTTGGCTAGTCCATCAGCTGCCTGAGTGAAATATATAAGCTGTTTGAGTCAAATCTATCAGGAATCCGAGTCAAGCATAGCAGCTGTTTGAGTCAATTCTATCCGCAGTTTGAGTCAAGTATATCATCTTTCTGATTCAAGTCTATTAGCTGTCTGAATCAAGCCCATAAGCTGTCTGAGTCGAGTTATCAGCTGGTTTAGTCAAATCCATGATAAAAAAATAGGAAGGTAGAACCGCTGAGAGGAATTTTTCAAATTCTTGACGTTTGCAAGCAATTTAATTTTAAAATTTTACACACAAACTCACACACACATTTTCATTTTCAATCTCAAACAACAGCAACTTTGCAACAACTTTGAACAATTCCCTCTTTTTTACTCTCAATTTTATATGATTTTAAAATGGTGGCAAACTTAAAAAAAAAATAATCATGGCCGACGAATTGAGAAAACGCCTTTACCCTACTATGTTTTTATCATGGTCAAATCTATCATCTTACCGTATCAAGTCTATTAACTGTTTGATTTCAACGTTTTAACTCAAACTACTTTCCGAAAATAAAATCGTAAAATCTAATATTTTGTAGACCAAAGAAATACTACTT